TTTCACTTCAACGGAACCAACTGTAGAGCGACATATGTGAACTCTTCGCATGTCATCATGAGAACACCGCTGGGAAGTTGTAAGACGCGGTACACGGCGGACGAAGACTTGATCACATTTTCAAACGTGGTGGATACAGAGGTKTTCGGTTCGAGCAAGATTAGTCGCTATCCTGCACACTTTTTCATGTTCGAGTGCTCTTACTACACGACGTTTGAAATGACTCTCAACGCCTTTAGTACCGAAGGGAAGATCATCACTAGACCTAAAGGTAGGTGGGTTGTGAAAATTGCAGGGGGGTTGTGGGTTCATTGGGTGCATGGGCGTTCCCAAAGTCCCCCAACACACACACATGCATCAGCCGGTGCCTCCAGTATCGGGTCCTGTTTGTTTTTCATGTATGACGTCATCTTCTTATTGTGTACCCTCTTGGGAAAAAAAATCCCAGATCCACCCCAATGGTGACATAGAAACCTCAATGATATTAATATGTTGGCAATTTCGGCCCTGATGAAATTCCAACTTCCCTTACAATTTAATCTCCATATGAAAAAAAGACTTCAATCACTAACTTTCCCCCGACTGCGTGAACTCTTTAGTTGTGATGACAAGAAACAACATATCAACGAGTAACTCTGCGTGTTGTTTTTCAGTTCAAATGGGCAACTTCTCCTTCACAATGAACATGTTCCAGACTAACAAGTATTTCAGTCCKTACACGAAGTTTCCCGTGAGGGTGAGGACAGGGGAGCGTGTCTACCTACARGTCAAAGTTGTGACAAACGCTTCTGGACTGACTCTGTTTCTTGACCGCTGTAGAGCTACTCCATCGCCAGACCCTAAGAGTGAGCTCAGCTACTATGTCTTGAGAGACGGGTAAGACCTCCATTACGATGATTTGTCATTCTCCTTGCATCCTTACACCACCCAGCCCTTGCTTCAAGTCTAACTTTCGAGCTTCGGACGATGAAATTCCCCATTCGTTTCAGATATTTCAGTTATTAGTTCGTTCTTAGTCATCAGAAGTGTCGGAGCCGCATTTATTAACCTTTTGAATATGCTTCTGATGCAGGTTTCTTCGAACTTCCCACTTTCGTTTTCACGGCTTCGCTTCCGACTGAAATATCATGRACATCTTCTTCCCTTCATAAATACGTTAAGGCTAGGGTGCATTATATTTATGGTGTCCCTGCAACCCTACACTCCAACTAGCGTTTCCAATTCAGTCATTGATAATCACATACTTTGGTTCATATCGTCTACAGTTGCCCAACAGACGAAACACTAAACTACAAAGCCAGCATCGACACAAAACAGCGGTTCAGCTTCCAAGCATTTCGATTCCGGTCCCAGCCCTCTAAAGAGGTGTACCTTCACTGCGAGGTCCTCGTATGCCACGAGCAAAACAACGCCTCYCGGTGCCATCGCGCATGTAAACAAAAACCCAGATACCTGACTAAAAGAGAGATCACAACACGAGAAATAGAGGAGTCCATCATGGACGAAAACCTGACCAACCTTATCAACATGACAACCAAGATTTATGACGTTACGTTGGGTCCTATGAAAGTCTATGTAGATCCTGTCAGGGGTCCCCCATTGCTACAAGGTACGTAATGAATAGTCTCCTTCACGGATACGRTMTGCGCCATCTTGAAAGGTAGCCGTGCCTTAACATGGAAGCGAGACAACCGTTGAGCGTGCTATGATAGATACCTGTGAATAATTGTCTGTAGGTGTGAAAGAAGGTTTCTATCATTGCACGCTMAACGGTCGTCTCGCTTCGATGCAAAGGCATGGCTACCTTTCAAGATGGCGMAGGTAACCGTGAAGGAGACTATTGAAAAACTATATACAAATGGATGAAATCATTAAGATGACGTCGCATCCAGTGCTATATTTACGTTCTTYCCTTTTCATTTATAGAGGCCTMTCAGGATAAAGGYCGTCGGTCACGTGGTTTGTGTCATACACCAGAACTTGCTTTACTTGTTATATCCAGTTTGGTATTTCTATATAAGGACATATTGCACAGTTGATAGTTGAATATATCTTGCAAAATCAGCATTAGAATGAGGCTCATCTCTTCACGTGACGTCCATTATAGTCAGGATTTATGTACAACCTGTTAAAGATTTCTAKGGCGAGGTGCTTGACGCTTAAAGCACACATACATTTAGGAGATGTAAAAGTACAATTTACAGACTAAAAAATAACGTATTTAATGATATATTTAGACAATAATTTACTACCTTTTTACTATAAGCAACTTGATAGATGTAGTATATAAAAAACAGGAAACCCCACGGGTTCAATTACAAAAACTCAAACTCTGCGAATTCTATTCAGTGTTCCCGTCATGTGATGTTTGGCAAGATGCATTATGGGAATTTACGAAAGTTAAAACTGAATCCATCTTGTGCCAACAGTGCTTTTCTCAAAATATCTCGTWTATTCTTTCCAATGCTTAGGATTCCTTTGATTCAAATGTTTGGTTTCCTATACGCGTGCTTTCTTGGCAACACACGAAGGATCGTGACTTGTTCCACGGAGAGAGCGTCGCAAACCTACTAAGATTTGAATCACACAACAGGAATCCCAAGAAATGGCAAGAAAAAAATTATGAGTTAGGCTTGGAGCTAGTATTCATGTCAAGCTGTTTAGCAAGCTGCAAACTAGCATTACATATTGCTAAGCGGAGTGGTTTTGGGGCTCAATTTCGTGAGCAGTAATCTTATTGTAATTCAGTTTCGTCAATTTTCCAATGACCCTTCATACTCCTTAGTAGCATCCGCTATCTTGGCACTTTCAACAATACCATGATGCACTTCGCCGAAACACAACGTCATAAGTAGRGAGAACAATTTAACAATAGAGCGCTTTTCAAATCTAGGTTTTCTATTRTAATAATCGAGGTCAAAGTACATGCATTATCGCTTTAATAGATATATACATCAATTTTAAAATTTATAGTAAGATTTTTAAAGGGTCAATGGAAACGGTTCGTAGAATGGACTTATAGCAATACTATTGATATAAAGGTTTGTGCGGTATCTTTACAATATATAGAATGAATTTGTGTTGACAGACAAGTCRAAGAAACCGTGAAATAGATATTACAATAATAAACCTTAGTACGCTCTAATTGCATTG